AAGAAGAGAAAACTTTAAGGGACAAGGGCTGGGGATTTGGTTCAGTGGCACCACGCCTGCCTCGCAAGTGCAAAAAAAACACAAAACTTTAAGGGACAATTTATTCTGGAATATCTATTACAAGTATGGCTATTATTTCTACCAACAAACACTCCCATAAGTAGTTAAACCTTCAATTAAAATTAAAATTCCTGTATCCTTAATTCACTATATTTATCTGAGTAATCAAATTTATCAGCATTATTACGGAACAACTAACCAGAATTTCCCTTCCTCACAAAGATCTATTGCTTGGAGTATAATATTAAGTAATAACAATTCCATAAAAGACAAAATACCCAAAATGGATTTCTACTTGTGGTTCTAGACACTTTCATATCAGACCAAATAATACAGTAAGTGACAGAAATTTATAACTACCTTCTCTGTTACTAGAAGCCTATATTGAGATAAAGCAGCCCCAAGGAACACATCTGTCTGCCAGGGCCAGGCATACAGCTGAGCTGCCCACACTGCGGAAGGAGACAAAAACCCATGTCTCCACTGTGCTAACATTCTTCTCTGATCTAGGCTGTGTAGTTGCCTAGAAATCATGTGAAATCGTAGCAAGTTTTCCAACTTCAGCAGCTTCTGGTTCATGTTTCTCCTAGGTACAAAAAAGATTTTAATATTTTAATCACATTACCAAATATTAATTGAATATTTACTACAGTACATGCAAAGCACTGTACTATGTACTAGAGCACAACAATGAATATAACTGGGTTCTTGCCCTGAAGAGCCACAGCCTGGTCAGAGCGACAGGATTCCATGCCAATTACTCTCCAGTTAATAGGTATTATTATTTTTTTTAAAAAATAGGTATTATTATTGTTCATGTTACTATTATGACAGGACTGAAATACAATAGAATGCAACTTTATAAATGGTTCTTTTTCCCCCTCTTGAAATTCTAACTAAATCACAACTGGAGTGTATTTTCCAAAATATGATTTTGAATTCATCACCTCTCTGCTAAACACCCTCCAATGGCTCCCCATTACCCCAATTTAGCGTGCAATTTCATAACATGCTATAAAAGGATTCATTATCTACCCTCTGCTAACCTCTCTCTTCATTTCTTATACTTTTATATAGTCTCTCTACTCCTACCTCCCAAGCTTTTGTTGTATTGATCCACCTATAATCTCCAATCATTTGTCATCTCATTTCTAAACCTACATATATCCTTCCTTTAGCTGGAACTGTCTTTCACCTCTTAACACTTTTCCCTCTACCTCATTCCCCTACAAAAAGGTGCTTTATCGTGAGTGGGAAGAAGGGATAGTCACTGGATAATGCCTTTTGAATATTATTCTTAGAATGAAAGAAGAGTTATTGAGAAAACTACAGAGTTCATTAGTAATACAGTTCTTTCCCTCCCAGAGTCCTGTATTTGCTCTCAACACTGCATTTCTACAGCTTTGATTTTCATGTTTTCTCCTTAGGAAATTATTTCCTAAGTACCATATGCCAGGCATTATGCTTAATGTTGTTGATGCAAAGGTTAATAAGCCAAAGTTCCTTCCACAAGTTCACTGTCTTTAAAGTTTATCAATATAAAGATTCTCGATCACAGCAGACACAGTGACTAATTACAACCCAGGGTAGAATTTTCATTGCAGAAGCATGCACAATTATTTCCATAAAATGTAGTCACTTCAACATTTTGTTTTTAAAGGAGATTAAGTTTTCAAATAATAGATATAGGCCATTAGACTATTCAGTATACTTTCTTTTACTCACTAGTCAGAAATAACCTATGCTGGGCATGTAGCTAAGCATGGGGTCCTGGGTTAAATAAGGAAGGAAGGAAACAAGGAAGGGAGGGAGGAAAGGTGGGCAAGCAGGCAGTGGGCACCTCATTTTTTTAAATATTATTTTATTGGTACATTTTAGGTATACAATATAATGACATTCATCACTGGAAATTTGCACCTTTACATAATCTTAGTTCTTATTTTTTCCCCCTTCCCCTGCCTTCCCTTCAACCCCTCCATCCCTCCCTATTTACAAAGACTTTGTTTCCATTTTTTCATTTTCTCATATTAATTCTATTCCTTTCTTTCCTTCCCCCTACCCCTCCCACTTCCCCTTCCCCTTTGCCCTTTTCTTTCTATTTCACGTTA